GAGGCTCCTGATCACTTTCGGAAAAACTCTTGTGGGGGTTCAAAATTGGGGATTGTGGGTTGTAGTGTAGGGCGTAGGGAATTTTGAGTGACACGTCTTTAGTATCAATCAAACCAGTCTACCCCTTAGGAAGCTTTTGATCCCGGTGGCATCTGTTATGGAAACACAAATATGATGATATGATTGATGTTATATAGTTATTTAAGTGAAGCTACCTAACCACAATTTGATTCCGTCTTTTGACACGGCTTAACTCATCCCCTATCTTTGAAAGTTCCAACAAAGGCGTCGCATATATAGAAGAAGTTTTGTCGACGCATTTTTTGCACTTACATTCTTTTTTACACTTCTGCCTTATATCGGGGACCAGTAGAGGTACTGGCGCGTAAAGAGCTAACTCAGTTACTATACGTGATGCTCATGCAAGATCCATTTATTCAGAATTGCTTGAGATATACCGAGATACCTAGTTGACGCCATTTTTTTTATACAGAGGGTTCGGAAGATTGATACCTATTTGAAAACTTGAGGAAAACGACCTCCATTATCGTCTAACTGCTAAAGAGTATAAAATGGCATTCATTCGACAGGAAAACAAGTATTCTCAGGTTTTTAGTTCTTTTTATTTATGGGTAAATGGGAGCTTGTATTTAAAATATTTTACTTTCTTTATGTGTGGTGGAATTTACTTATCTTTCTCTCTGTCTCTGTCTCATCTCTCATTGAATATAAAGTCCTCCTTTATCGATGAGGTAAGGATGTCACCAAGATCATTAGAGCAAAGAACTTTCATTATGTTTCAGAACAGTTAATGAAGTTCCGCCTGAGCAGAAAACCAGGACGATCCGTCCATATATCACCCCAACGACTAGTAAACTTCCCAAAAGCAATAAAGCCGAGTCACTCACTCCAAATTCGTCCAACAGATTGTTTCCTTTCCAGTTGAATATAATAATTTGGCAAACTTTTGGGCCTTGGAAGATACCGGATATATTTTCCAAATATTCCATATATCCATATATCCGTATGGTGTGCCATGATGCAGCAGCAACTACTCAACGAGTTACAAGAACTCATAAACTAAGATTTATTGCCACTTTCATCAACATTAATATTTGACGGTCTGTTGAACAAATAGGAAAATACCTTATCGAAATGCAATTTGACAGAAGTGGAGTTGCCATATACATTCTTAACGATGTACCATACAGACCCGTACATCTGAATAAATATTGTTTTGAATTGGACATTGAACACACCTAATGGTAACGTGGGCGTATCTTTGGAAAAAAATGAGGAAACTTTACATACTGTCTGTAGATCCTAATTGTTTATAGATTGTATGTGGCGATCTTAATTTTAATTGTTATGAGTCAAAATGTATTAGTTTCGTGAAATTGTGAAATATTTTCGCCACGTTTGGTTTGTATCATTAAAGTGGTTGGCCAACTCGAGTGACAGATACTTCGACCACAACCATTGAGCACGTTTTTACCAATATTGTTCAGTTTGTTTACTGTGTCTGTGATAATAGGGAGAGAGTCTCAGATAACAGAACGGTTATGGGGGACTTTGCTCCAAGAAATCGAACAAAATTTACCTGAGCAAAAGAACTTCTCATCAAAACGCGATTAGCGACTTTAAAGGTTCTTTACTAAACAAATCTTTGCTGTTAGTCTACACTAGCTTTACAGTTTCCGAAGTCTAGGGAATTTTTTTTAATATTTTTTTGTACTAGTTAAATAGTAATTATCCTTGATAGCATACTGGCAAGTGGTCAATGAAACTAAAAATGAGGACTCTGTTCGAAAAAATATGGTGTACATGAAGATTAAAATAAAAAAGTGCATGACCCTCAGTTGTTGGCAAATATGTTCAGTCAAAAATACTCCAGACGACATAATATTGATAAACATTGACATACATTGATGAGAAACTCTCATTCGTCAATCACGTAGAGCACATCGTAAATGATGCAAATAGAACACTAGGGTTCATAAACAGGACATGCAGAGAATTTACGAACCCAAAAACGCTTCTTTCATTGTACTACGCTTATATACACAACAAACTGATGTTTGCATCAGTAATATGGAATCCGTCTTACAATGTACATATAGCCAGGATAGAAAGAATTCAACACAAATTTTTGAAGATATTAGCACGTAAAACTCACCAACCTGTTATAGATCGTCATTATACGCAAATTATGAAGCAGTTCAATATGATTTCCTCAAAAGATAGAAGAACGATTTCTGACATTTGCTGTGTTCATAAATTGTTGAATGGCCTCACTGACTGTCCGGATCTTTTGGCAAACTTGAACTTTAACACTCCTGATAGAACGATTAGAACCTATCATCTGTTTAGAATACCGTTCCGTAGAACTAATCTTGGTCTTAATTCCCCTTTGGTCAGGGCTCAAAAAATCATAATAATTTCTGTAATATAGATTTATTTAACATTAGCTTGGCCTTCCTGAAAAAGGCTTTAAAGTATGAGTATTACAGCTCTATGGCAGACTAAAATAGAAATGTTTTTATTTTTTTACATAACTCAAGTTATCACCTCCAATATCATTTCTGGTATAATTTCAATCTAATTTTGATTTCAGTTTTAATTAAACGTAAGTAAATGTTAAATTATGTATACTCCTTTGATTAAAAAAGTTAAATTAATGGTTTATTGCTTATAATTAGAACTACTCACTCAGTTTATGTTGTAACAACAATATCGGAGGATAAAAAAATATTAATATTGAAGTATTCAATAATGTAATATATGTATATGTATACGATATTTTATGTGAGTTTAGTTTTAGTTCACTGAGGGTGTGTGTTATAAATACTGTATATAAATATATAAATAAATACAAAACATTCATACCTCAGATAGTACTTGATTTTAAATTTAATGTCACAAAAATGATTTCAAGCTTTCCCCTTATACAGATATATATATATATATATATATATATATATATATAAATCTTGCGGTTTTGATGACATTCCCAATTTTCAAGTAAAAGAAGCACTACATTTTATAATAAAACCACTAACGCACCTTATAAATACCTGATTTTGCTGTGGAGAGTTTTCAAGACTGTGTTGTGTGTACTTTCTAAAGTTTTTGGATATGCCTTTTTGGATAGACTTTTTCTACATCTTAAAAACAACATTATTTGGTCTCAAAACCAGCTTGGCTTCACAAATGGTTAAACCACAATTTCAGCGGTATATTCCTTATATGAGAACCTTATAGAATACATCGACGTGGGAGAGTGCCCTACTGGTGTATTCGTGATCTCAGAAGGGCATTCGACTGTGTTGATCACAACGAATACTTGGAAATTGTTGGTAAATATGGTTTTGTCGTTCAGTCTCTTAAATGGGCCAGATCGTTTTTAGTCCAAAGAAAACAATACGTTTCAGTACAATATCTTGATGCACAAAACAATGCGATAAACTTTGTGCCAGGTACGTTAGACATTTTGATTGAAGTCCCTCAGTGGCAGCAATCTTTTTTCTCTTATATATTAATTATTAATCAGATTGATAATAATTATCCAGATACTCATTTATATACTGATGACGTTCCTGCCATAATATCAAGTGAATTCAAATATGATTTTGGAAAGTTAATGTAGCAACTTAAATATGAAAATAAATGCATAGTTTAACCAGTACTAACTATACTTGAATCCTTCGAAAACACCTCTTATTCGTTTTCATTATACTCAGAAAAATGTAGACGAGTTAGATTGGATGACGGCAAACTCGAGTTTAGAGGAGAAGCCAATTTCTTGAACTTCATTTTGATTCGAACATAAATTAGAAGTCACACTGCGAATTTCTTACATTAAAGATGTAATCTTAAAACTATGTGTTGAGGCAATTAAAAACCATCTAAACAACTGACCCACTCGTATAAGTTTATTTTGCTAAAGTGGATTCAAGATTAAGATATGCAGTATGTTTTTGGGGTTGGCCAACGCGCTCTGAAGATACATAACATATTTGTATCTCAAAAAAGGTGCATCCGATCATTGTCAGGGATATCACCAACAGAAAGTTGGAAAAAATATTTTACAGATTTCAACATTTTAACTGTTCCTTCGTTGTATATACTCGTATATATGAATCATGCTTACAGGTTTCTAAAAATAATGATAAGTTCGAGCGAGACTGTGATATGCATAATTATGATACAAGGACCTGTAATAATTTATGTGTTAACTTCAGCAAATCAAAAGTAGCATTTCGATCGCCTAATAAAATTGGCCCAGTTCTTTTTAATAATGTGCCAGGCCACATTATCTCGGTTAAAAATGTTAACAATTTCCACTTGAAGCAATTTTTGATAAACAAGTGCTTTTATCATGTTAATGCATTTTTGAACATTGCAATTTAAGATTAGTTGTAGGCTGTAGCCTACGAAAAATTGACAATTCCAATACAATTCTATATTGTCTGTATGGAAATAAAGGTTTTGATTGATTGACTCAATGGATGAACGCATTACCCAAGATAGACATATTTAGCAAAAATGGATTTAACTTCTCCAATAGATAAAATTAACCTCAAAACAGTCCAAGCTCAATGTGTGAAACGTTATGATTTCTTCGTTTGTGGTTGAACGGCTCATTTGGCTTCTGTGTGATATTGAAAAAGCGGTTCAATCAGGTGCTGCTTAATATCGTCAATCATGTGCTATAATGTACCTTATGAATTTTTTTCCTGACATTCTTGCTTCTCAGCCTATACGTTTTATGTGCTTGGGCGGCAAAGTAACCTTAGTGCCCTTTTTACCTATACTTATTTTTCAGTAATAGCTTTTGCTACCACTTTTCTTTTACAAATTATAGTAGTTTGCGTTTTACGAATTAGAAGGTTCCCTATTATTTAGTATATTACTAGTTCATAACATATACTTACTTCAAGAATATAAAAATATCATATACATGCTAATATTTATTATGCATATTTATATCTACATTGTACATAGAATCATATTTCTCTGCTTTCTCCTGTTGATCTATTTACTCTGGTGACCGGGCTATAACCATAAAAGCTGAAACAAGGCAAAGATTAGTGATGGATAACTAATTCACCCTATGCTTGGCAGATAACCTATTGTCTTATTAGCAGATCTGATAAAGTAATTATCAGCTTTTGTTTATTGTAACATTGAAAAGGGGTTGATTTGTAAAACTATAACCAATTAACCAATTTGGATTTTTGATCAAGACCAAATGGTCATTCGTAAATTAAGGATTTAATCCAAAATTATAAAATAAAGCGGAGAGTCCTCTATTTATTGTGTAGAAGCATCACAGCCAAATTTTCGCCTGCAGGGTCCACTGTCCTGCTGATACTGCTCAGTGCTGTTTTGCTGCTGATAGCCTAGTGCGATCGCTTCAGACAACTGAACTCCGCTTGGGCTACAGCTCGGAGGGTTAAACATTACCTCAAAACGGTCACCATCAGGTGGAGGCTAAAAATCTACAGATGGAGTTTATATTACGTATCAATTTCTATTACGTATCAACGACCTCCTGATGACTCTACATGCAGAAATTCAAAGAGCCAAACCGATCTCTGCCGCTGAGCTGGAGAGAAGAAGAAAATTCTTCTGCGCCTTGTATCTGTATTGAGGTGAAATTGAAGGATCAGTTGTTTCAAAACTGATCTCTACGAAATACCCTCCAAATACCCTACCTTCATGATCACAGAGCATAAATAGCTACGCGGAGATGTTCAGGTTTTGCTTCAGGTATTTGAAACCTGATACCTGAGTCTTTGGTTTCTTCTCTCACTACTTATCAGTATTTCATAAACTCCTATTCGACCTATTTCTGTAAATATTCTGACGCTTTATCCCGTTTCTCGAACATAGCTTAATTGTGTGTAGCAGAAAGCTGCTTTCATCAAATTATACTGCAGCTAATCGAAACCTCCGAGGCTTCGCGGGCGGTAGAAAATATTTATTAAACACAATACGAGCTCGAAGCGCTTCTTGATATAGTTGAGGAGTCGTATTTTTGAAATCGGTAATAAAAATCGTATACGAAAGGATAGCGAATAGCAGCTTAGCACGTGTAACACGTTGTTACATTGAGTTGAGATACGAGCACCCGTTTGAGGTTTTGGTCGTATGTCTTTACTTGTATATGTTACCGGTAATCTGTACAATTCAGGTATTCTATACAAAATCTAGGCAATATATAGAATACCTGGGTTGCCTAGGCAATGTGTGACATATTATGAATATTATTATCCATTACATACTTTACCTAGATAATGAATACAATTCCTAGGGATTGTACAGAGTACTGCTGTTCCACCGACAATGTGTAAAATAAATAGATCTCGGTCTAAATTTATCAATGTTAACAGGCATACATATAAAATGACGGGCAAACTAAACAAATTATATTATTTAAAATCAACTTTCTCAAAATTAACCATTCGAGTGCTTCTCAAAAATAAGCTTTATGAAAAGGGTACAAGAAAAGCACCTTTCTGTTACTACAGTTAAACTGATGTGAAACTAAAAATTATTCTAGCTATAAGTAACATAATGTAATTTTCTTTGCTTACAAGGACACATTTCGTTTATTGCCTGCCGACCGTATGTACAACCCGTTCCTTGCTCTCGCCTTTTACATACATTACCGGCTGTGCATTTGGTAATGTATAATATATAGATATAATATTTCATACATTACCTACACGGTTTAGGTGTTCTATACATTACCTAGGTATTGTATAGAATACCGGATTATACAGATTGCCGGTAACATATATACATATACTAGGCGCTTTGATTGGTGTTGATGTAGTGGAATTTTATATTATTACTTTTAATCAGCCTGAAGCTTCTGCTGGTGTAAATTGAGACATCGAAATACCACGAAATGTTCCTAGATGCATCGAAATCATTCAGGATGCATCAAGGAAGCAACAAGAACAGTTAGAAATACTTTGTGGTAACAGAAGAATAACGTCTGCTTTAAATTCAAAAGTTTTTTAACCTCAAATTACTTATGTGACCAATAGTCTGTCTATTTAACATGGTCCTTAGTTATCTAGACACTCTGGCCTTGAGAGATTATATTTATTCATTTCGTACGACTTGTAACCACCAAAAACCGTGAAAAGGACTTAATTCAGCTTTGTATGAATATTATAGCGTTTCATAAATACTTTGTGGCAGTTTGGCAACACCCTCGCCTCAGTACATGCAGAGCCCCCTATGAGCGAATATCCACGGCGGTTCGCACATCGATCGCTGATTTTATTTGCAAACCTGTAATAGTCTAAGAGCCGACGGTTTTGATTACATCACGTACTATATTATGTTAGAAACTAATCAAGTCTTACGTATGAAGACGAACACGAAGTCTTCTAGACGAAGCCATAAGTGTGTTAACTGGCTTCCAGTCGTATTTCCACTTCTATTCTTGATTTCCTTCAGGTTACACCTGTATCCAGACACTTCGCTGTTTTCGATCATCCATTTGGGCCTCATAGAGCCAATAAGAAGGAACGTACGTCGCTCTAATTATCAATCGTACCATTTCTGCTACTGTTTATTACGGACACATGCCCACGATGGTGCTTTGTGTTTCAGCTGAAGTCTCCGCATGCTGATGCACATGGAAAAGGTATATAAGGAGCAAGGACTGTTGACAGAGCGGTAGAAGATAGCAATACCGCTGACCGCATGTAGGTGCGAAAGTGTCCCGAGACTGCCTGCTAGAGATGAGTTATCGATCAGTCGAACAACCCCTCTCCGCACAGGTATCGGGTATAGACAATACAGTTGGGGCAGCAGAACCCCAGTCATGTCAACGGTACTCAAGGCGACGACACACTCATCACCTGCACTATATCTGTTGGCATCGAACGCTTTCTACTTTCCGGCAACTGAAAAATCGAATCAATAACCGATTCCTGCTCCAACCATAACTCAACCGGCGAAATTAATGACCTACGAGAATAAAGAACGCTTCTAGCTTATCTCTCACTACTGATTGTCCTGCCTAGCTGCAGCTCAGTTAACGATTATACTTTTTGATGGAATTCCAATGGTGCTTACTCAACTGCACCGGCTCATCTTTTTTAATCTAATGTTTTTGAATTAAACAACAGGATCGTATTGTTTCACTGAGTGTATTTTCCAAGAATATGATGTATTTGGACTGCACGTTAATTGATATTGAATTTACCGAGGCATGAGCTATAAAATCGATGCCTAAGATCGCTTTTTGAAAAAGTCTAATTTTCTAAAGTACAAAATTCAATATTATACTTTTCCAAAATCCAAATCCAAAAATATTGCTATGATGTTTATAGGACAAAGACTTGGATATTACTTAGATGCGTTGAGAACAACAAACTAAGCTCGAGGTCTTCTAGGAAAATAACGCCATGGTTAGCGTTATTCCTTGCATATCAGCTGTTATGGCAAATATAACTCACAGATTTTACTGGAAATAAGTATCTTCTGGTAAAGCATGTTATGTTTTCATTTGAAGATTTATTACCTACAGTCACATTTATAAGCGTTATTTGATGATTGAGTGACATTCTGGAAGTGATTTGACTTTTAATTTTAACGAACAACAGCACTTCTTTGGAGAGAGCTCATTTCACAGAAGGCTGCAGCAGTTGTTACCACAGGTTGTCATCGATATCAGAAAGATTTTTTGCTAATTGTGTCTATCTAGGCATATTGGTTACGGTTAGTTTTTTTTTTGCTAAATATCACTAAGCAAAATGGCGCAATACAAAGTGCTGACTAGTGTTTGTCGCGATTTTATAGCGAGCAGTGTTTTCGTAGTAGAACGGTCTGGACTGAATATAGGCAACCAGTATTGCAACACTCACGTCGAAATTTTGAGCGTATTTGTACTTCTTGACAATTGTTTTACTAACAATCCGTAAGAGAATCAGTTATTTGTCATAATATTGAGTCACAGTGATTATAAAAAGGTGAAATGATGTCATTGATACAGATACTGACACTACGCAAGATGAATAGTTAAAATAAATCTAACACATAGCTCGTCTATTTTAGAAACTCGTTCTTGGCTTAAGATTAAAGCGATCTCTGATGAGAATGAAAGTGTGAAGAGAACACGCAGAAAATTATGGAACACCTTTGAACAAGGAAAGTAGAGAGCTTATGTAGACAAACAAATGGAAATTATAAAATTCCTTATTGACCCACTAAACACGCACGTTACTTTTATGTAATATTTTTTTATCAAGATCTTCTCTTGAATACCAATGCAGGCAAATCGGTTCTGAAACCTCAAAAAAACTGTAAGGCCCTCGTAACTAGAACACTGGGACAACTTTCTGACATCGACCCTTCGGAAACCAATTATGCACCCAGAACTACGCGTTCGCGTTCGGGAGTGTTCACGTCGCCATCGCGAACCATTCGACACACTGCAAGACAGACCGAGCCCTATCTAGAAAACGCGGGAACCGTCGATTCGCTACATAAATATCCAGGCGCCATCAGGGGGACAGCCAGTCAAAGTCATATAGGCAACCGCGCGACGAGATAGTTCAGTCGACAGGGCTATACTCGTACACATGTAATAAATTAAATTAAATGGATGGCGTCTCATCACTTCAAAACAACAAGTTATCCATTTTCTGTACACTCATATCTGTATATAAGGTAACGCCTTCATAGCTAGAACTTTGGGTACATCGACAAAAGATTCACCACTCTTCTAGAAACGTCAACGCTTAGGCAACCAGACTTACGTCACCGTGCAGCATAGCATCAGCGAGATGGATCCGGCGACATCGGGAGCGTTGGAGACGTATCGCTCGACATCTAGACAACTACGATGGAGTGATGGAAGGCTCTATATTGGCCAATTTTTGAACACAAATAGGCGCCAGTACGGCAGAATGGCAGAGTTGAGTAGTTGACTGTGCAAAACGCGATAGTCCAGTCGACAGGGTTATACAATCATGAGAAATTAAATGAAATGAAATGAGGCTCAACTCGAAAAACAAAAAATTATTCCAATTTATAATATTCCGTCAGTTAATCGGATATTTGTCATAATATTGAGTAATATTGAATAAAAAAAAAGGTGAAGTGACGTCATTAGTACAGATACTGATACTACGCAAGATGAATAATTAAAATAAATCTTCTATCTTATCCATGTTCTGTACACTGTTTTCTTATTTTGAATATAAGTTTACAGTGAGTCGTACTTCACTTACCTCTGTATATAATAATGTAACGCCCTCGTAGCTGGAACCTTGGGTATATCGGCCAGAAGATTCGCCACACTTATGGAAACGTCGACACCTTAGCCAACCAGAGTTTCGCCACCGTGCATCAAGAGCGGTATATCTTGCAGCATCATCGAGAGATCGTCCGACACCAGGAGCGTTGCTGAAAGGATCTGCATCGCCCATTTTTTAACATAAATAGGAGTCAGCACTTCAAAGTGGCAGAGTATTATAGCTGACAGCGCAGAATGCGACAGTCCAGTCCACATGCTTATAAATCTGTAATAAGTCAAATTATATGACAGGAAGCTCATCACCTTGAAAAAAAAGTTATTCCATTATACATATTCTGTACAGTTTTCTTATTTTGTGTATGAGCTTACAGTATCGCCGAGTCGAGTAGCTGACAGCGCAGAACGCTACAGTCCAGTCGGAATTGTCATAAATTTGTTGCAAGTGTTGCTATAAATCAGTGTAGGAGCATTAAATTAGACTTTAAATAACAAGAACGTTGCTTTTATTACACAACGAGCTACCCTCAAATGACTGCTGAAATGTTATTAGAATGGGGTAGATACCTTCGCTATAATGCAACGTTAATTATGTGTAGATTAAACGGTATGATTAATTGAGGATGTTTCCATTAATATCAAATAACAGGGGCGAACTACAAATTAGATGAATGCGTATATTTATCTTGCGTAATCACTTTGGTAAATTGGATATTTGAACGTTTTAGGCGTTCGATTTCAGGTGTAAAGGAAATTTATTAGAGTTGTTAATGTGATGTTCTAACATGTAAGTAGATTGTAGATAACCTTTATTCAGACATATTTCTTTTAGGATGAGCTGCTTTTGAGGTGGCCGCATCGAAATAGTAAAATTGAGTCAATTTAGGTAGAAAATTAGGTCTCAAAGTATTGCAGGAATATGTGGAGCAAAACATCCATTTTCCTCGGACATGATTTTAAGGAAACGAAACTTGTGAGGTGTGATCAAATTTAAGGTAGAAAATTAAATGCTACGAACCCCTGACTCCTACTTTTTAAAAATATTTGAACCTTCAATGTTTGTCTTGACGGTGTTAAAAAATGATCTTAATATCTTACTTTATGGTACGTGTGCAGGGTTTTCACTCTTTTCAGTTCTTGGCCTGACAATTGCGATAATTTTATTTTTTTACATAATCTCCTTCGACGCCAACAAAGTTGATCTAACGTTTCTTCAACATTAGGATTCATTATCGGGAGTAGAAGTCTGGAAAGATGTGAATATATATATATGAGCAGTAGTCATTGCCAAAGCCAACGACCAGTTGGGAACAAAATACAATTGATTGTTAATTGGAAAATTTGCAATCTTTTTGTTGTTGCTTAAGTTGACTCTTTTGACGATAAAATCAAGCTTCCGGCATTCTCTATGGAGCCTTCATCGGGATTCTTATAACACAATTGTGATGCTAGCAAAGAAAACAGGACAGATTTAAATTGTCAGACAACTTACTCGTCGGTGAGGTTGCAGCCACAAGGTGTTTTAAAACGAACGTTGAGAAGATCGAACTTGTAATCAGTATAAAAACAAAAGGACGTGGACATTGGACTTTCTGAAAAAACGACAGATACCTTCGTTACATGTTAAAAATATCAATCCACCCGAACAAATTAAAAAGGCATTACACGTGAGAAGACATTTTGATGAAACAATCGGAATGCAGTCTCTAACCTTCTACTTTCGCTACACGTGGAGAGGGGGAAAGCACGGAAAGATAAAGCGTCGACAGATGACAAGTGATTGACGCGACGGACCGTGGAACTGTAAACCTCTCTCTGTCCAACTTTGGGTATGAAGTATACGAGGGATGCTCGGTAGATCTCCACCCAAAAATTACTAAAATGCTGAATTAACTTGTTTTGGAAAAAAAGTGTGTAGTTCATATGAGCGTAAGAATGTGTGATATTGATACAACCTTGAAAAGATGGGTTATGTGAGTTTATATTAACAATGTGAGTGAGAAAATGTATTCTAATTTTGTGAAGATGTTGGTTCAATTTGGATAGCTTTTCGCAATTCAACAGGTAATAATAAATGACACTGAGCTGCTTAACATCAGCCTTTTTATTCATGCAATGATCTGTCATGAAAATGTGGGACATTTCTAAAAATAAACGTTTTGAGAGTCTTTTTTCTTTATCAAGCACCTCAATACTGCCATTATTCATAGAGTGACCTGTGTTGTTAATATGAGATGCCAAAGCACATCAGTCAGATTACACCCAGAGAGATGTGCTTCCATTTTAGGTGCTTACGTTTTCCTCTGTTTTTAATCTTTACGTATCAGAAACTCCGACAATTTTTTGCCTTAGATTATTTGCCTCTAGCTTGGTAATACATTTGGCGTATGTTTTCTCTTGTATAAAGAGTTCCTGTAATTGGAAGTATGTTCTGATGGAAGGCCACACGATAAGTTTCAAATGTTATGTTCTGATGGGCAACAAAATACCTTGTTTGTTTGAAAAATGTCTTTGTCAGCTGGAGAGCTTTACCTCTTATCCACGTATAAGCACGTTGTTTGAAAATAATTACTCAAAGTACATACTTTACAACTTCCTTGTATTGGTGTCTTCCGAAAGCTCTTTCAGTACACTTACATGAAAGAGTTGTCGCAAAACTTTCTTCAAGTAAACTTCTTCCCTTTGTTACGTATTTTTGCAAGTAATTGCACTAAGATTAGAATAATAAGTTGTTTCTCTACTGCATATAAATTTTATTCAAGCGGGGACTCGAGTTACCTGAAACTTAGCAATGTCTAGGATGAAATGCTGTTTATTTACATTTCAGAGTGCTTTGGAAGTAGGTATAATTCTTCACAACGGTACCTAGTACATTTGCTGCTATTTTGTAATTACATTTACTAGATCTCCAACTTTTGTTGACATTATGAGTCAAAGACTAGTGTTACAAAGAGAAACCGTTTACATAGTTTTAGTAGACAGAGTTTGTATCAACAAATAATACCATATCTTATGAAGCTTCTATGAAACGTTATTAAGTTTATATTTTGGTTGGTTTAATCCAATATCTCTACGGAAATTGTATTTGAACGTTCAAATACGTGATAGTTTTTGGCATCTTCATCAATGTTAATTAATTGTGAAAGCTAACTGCGGTAGTAGGGCAAATCCTGGGGACAATTGCAAGCCTCCACTACGACTCATTGGTCTATTGTGACCCAAGTAGCTCCGTCATACAAATGAAGTCGATTAGCTTATTGAGAAATACCTTCTGGTCCTCCACCTGGAGCAATACTTCTTCAAGGGTGGATTTCACCAGGATTGTCGAATCAACAGTCTGTTCACCTTTAGGGTAACAGTCCGTCAAATATAGCGAATGAGCTTCAAGTTCCAATCAGCAAAATTCAACAACCAATAACTATGACATGTTGAAAACAAAACACTGTCAAAGTTTGAGATGACAGAGTGTCATTGAAACATCAGCTTATTGAATATTAAGAAATTACATATAATTTAGTCAAAATTTAAAAAAGTGTTCGATTTTTGAATAAAATTCATGTTTTTATTTGATATTTTCGATTGTTTATTCATGTTTATATTATTTTCGTCAACTGATATACACCTACCGTGTGTTCTTTTCTTATAAACCTTTTGCAGATAGCCACTAAGCACCTACTTGATGACGGGCTCTACCAAAAGTTTCATAGATATTGCTCGTTTCCAAAAATTCATTCATTTACTTGCCGTTTATCAGTACCATTATAGCACCGTCGATTGATATTCCCACAAAAACATTCAGGATTTTTGATATCCATACATCCATAGTCAAATATTTTTTGGTTGTTCAGGAACAGAGATTAACAAATACTCAAATATATGTCGTAAAGCTACCAGCAAACCTAAAACCTGCAATAAAAATTGAATTTGCAATAACTTTCTTGTTTCACTGAGTACACATTCTAGTTTATATTTACATTAGACATTATTTGAATAACAGCTGATTATTACATCTGAAAACTCCCCAACGAGTGACACATGTGTGGTATCCGTTAATCCTTGATCCCAGTCGAGTAAGCTCCGCCAACTGTGGAAATATACTATGCTTTATATTACCGTGGAATTTTTCCCAAAATCGTTACACAACACTTGAAAAAATGCAAATGACAATTTAAAATTAATTCCATGACGCCGCAAAATAGCTCCGTCGGTACCTCGGGTTATACATATTGACAGTAGGGATGTTCAATACGATCCTATATTTAGGAGTATCGATTCATGAGTATCGTCATCTTTCGATCCGGACTGTGTCAGGAAGAGTGACTAACTTCATATTACAGAATATGAACGGATATGCATAGAATTTAGAATATAAATTCGTATTGCAAATTTCAGATTGTCTAGACATGGACTTGAACCGGATTTTTCGGTGTTTTCACTGAGAAGAGAGTATTTACCGGTAACATCATTCTCCACGGTTTTTAAAAATAATTTAAATATTACTATACTTGCCGAAAAAGAGCTGAAACCAAAAATTAAGCTAAAAATTAATTTTATGTAGTCTTCCTGGTTTTATGCCCCATAGCAATCATACATTATGCATACATACTCAGGCAGTCTGGCACATCAGTGGCGTAGATTTGGGTTACCTATGATTACGAACGCTCATCCACTCCGCTTGCCCTGACTTGATTTTTGTGCATAAAAAAGGTACAGACTGGTATATTACCGTCATTACCTGATCACCGGACAAGCAATAAAGAACCCGAAACCTGTCTGTTTTCAAAATAAATATTTAATTATATTCGTCAAAATTTCATTTGAAGCTATTATTTTTCATAAAATTTTTGCAAAATGTAAGATAGTAAAGGTAACACCGCCCCCTGCAGCCCAGTTGACAAGAACGACAAGCTGTCAAGATTAGGGATGTTTATAATTTGTCTTCGCAGTGCCGAAAATTAAGTTAAATTATTAAATCATAAATGGAGCAATACGTCCACCTGATCGAAGATATGAACCCCACTTGTCACATCAAATGATTGATTTTATTGATATATATGTACATTGCACAAAAAAGATTTCAGATATAAACAAGGCAGCCAAGTTTGTCAAAGAGCTTAAAGCAAACATTTTGCGCAACATGCGCCATCTAACCCCTCCCGGTGTAACTTGAAACTGTCAAAACTTAGAGGGGAATGGGAAACTTCATATGTTCCTGCTCCGGTTCACTACGGGGTGTCGCGAAAAAATCTCTAATGTCTAATATAAATATAATCTAGAATGTGTACTCAGTGAAACAAGAAAGTTATTGCAAATTCTATTTTTTTGCAGGTTGTAAGTTTGTAGGTAGCTTTACGACATATATTTGAGTAATCCTTAATCGCTGTAAATATACTGTGGATGTTTTTTCAGTTCCTGAACAAACAAATATTATTTGACTTTATGGATATATGGATATCAAAAATCCTGTATGGTTTTGTGGGAATATCAATCGATGGTGCCATAATGGTTCTGGTGAGCGGCAGGTAAATGGATGAATGTCTGGAAACGAGCAATATCTATGAAATTTTTGGTAGAGTCTGTCATCAAGTAGGTGCTTAATGGTTATTTGCAAGAGGTTTATTGAAGAAAAAAACACAGGAGGTGATGTTAAATCGCACATCAATTGAAGAAAATAATATGAACATGAATAAAAAATCAACAATAGTAATTAAAACCTGAATGTTATTCAAAAGTCAAACATTTCTTTAAATTTTGACTGAACTATAAGTAATTTCTTAATGTTCAATAAGCTGGTGATGCTTCAAGGATAAGCCGTCATCTCATACTTTGACAATATTTTGTTTTAACATTTTATAGCTATTGGTTGCTGAAATTTATTGATTGGATATTGAAGCTCATTCGCTGTATTCCACGGACTGTTACCCTATAGGTGGAGAATAATGGACTGTTAATTTGACAACCTTTGTGAAATCCACCCTTAGCTTCCCAAATAACGAGGTGCACTCTAATTTTTCCTGATCCAGGAACGTTTCTTTGAAATCAGGCTGTATTGTGATTAGCCTTATACTCTGCATCAGCTGCCCATGGTGTCCCGGCTGACAATACGAACTGGGATATAGTTCCTACACCTATTTCGATCTTGGAACCACCTATCTATGTACAAATTTCGGTCCTTATTAGGTAACTTTGCTGTTCTTACTCTTTCGTTCGAGGAATTGTTAATGAGTAGAATCCAGGGACTGCATGTTCACCAGAATGTCCATCTCCTACATAGTGACATTGTTTACCATCATACCTTTTACCACATGAAGTAGCATTTAGGTAAATCTTCATACCACTTATTGCACCAACAAGGTAGGCAGTTCTAAGGTCAAACGAATCTAGCTAAATTTTTACACCTCACGGACATTCGTGTGAAAGTTGAAGATTGATTACTTCCAATTTCACCGCGAGCAGGACTGTTGGCTTTGCGCGTTGTTCCATATATCCAGCTCAGTTTCAACTAAAACACTTTCGAGAACTATCCGTCCTGAAGGAGTCGCATCGGTTGCCGGTGCCGAGTATACTTCAAAAAAAAAACAAAAAGCACAGGTTAGGAACTTTTCCTTTGTTTTCATCGAAATGGACAGGCCGAGTCGACGTGGTCTGGCATTTGTGCTTTGCCAGCATTTGTGGGATTGATACAGTTATATTAGGAAGTAGAACAAACGGTTCTGGGATAATAAAGCCACATATTTATATATAAGTTCAGGAAAATATATGAGTGGATTAACGATTACAGCTACTATAAGTCATCATTTACAAAAGCATCGCAAAACGATAAAGTCGTACGTATTCCTAGCACCCAAATATTCCTAAAATATGTAAGTACTTACTGCAGCGGTGTGACCGTATTGACATCTAGTTAAAGTTAGTTACCTATTTATTGCGCTTGCTACAGTCAGCAGTGGTTGATGGGCCAATCGGGACCTGTATCGTGGCGGGCTAGATCACTAGATTAAAATCCTATAGATTTCTTCGTCTGGGGTGATTTAAAACGAGGCGTTTACAATACGCCAGTGGAAACTGTAGATGATTGTCGACAAAGAATTTTCCACCATAGCTGGAAAATGAAAAATAGCATCCAAATGCCTTGGAGAGTACAGCAAGAATTTGTTTGTCAAGCTTAAGAGTGTGTTAGGCAAGGTGGTACTCATTTTGAACAATTTTTGTAGTTGATGTTTCCGTTTATTAGTTTTGTTGGCATCCTCATTTGTTATCGTCAAAAACCATAGCATCGCTACTCAGATATTATCCAAAGCAACTTGATTATTATGTTATAGAAATGTTTTATCATCATGATACAAATAATGCATTGGGACCATTAAAAACAAATATCTCGAAAACTATCAGCTTTAGTTACTTCAAACGAGTGAACCTTTTTTTGTTGCGGAAGTACGAGAAAATAAGATTTTTTGGTCATTTGTTGTATACAGGGTAGCAAAAAAAAGATGTGACAAGTTATTTACCGAAATAGTGCTGTGAGTGGCGCCCTCTAGAAGTCTGGCAATAAAGAATAATGCATTCTTGTTTCTCATACTAGAAAACTTACCTATACCGAGTTTTATGCCAAAATCTGAAATATTTCTCAAGCAATAAGGAAAAATAGAAAAAAAAATTGTAACTTTGACACCCTGTACCTCGCAACATATCAACTTTTGAACGGAAGTATGTTTAGGTCAATTTATACTCGTATATTATGGTCTATAGTCTCTCCAGTTCCGAGATTTCCCAACCTTTTGCAAACACCCTACTTATATAATTGTAAAAAAAATATTAATTCGTTGGGCCTTCACGATGTATTGTGCACCAGGGAATTTAAAGGAAAAATAAAACAGCGGCAAGGAAATTCTGTGGAACTGGTTGCATATACTCAGTTTTTACTTCTCTGTCATTGCTTTGTAATTCGAGGAAGCAAACACATAATATTTTTAATGTTTACGGATATTTAGCAGAAATGGCAAACAGCATCAACATGCGTAAATGATACGACCAGCAAAAAAAAATCTATCTGACAATGGTGATAGCTCGTGGTGACGACTGCTTCAGCCTACTGTGAAATGAAAATTCAAATCCTACCTTGAACTTTTCTCAAGGAAGCGCCACTGTCTCACTGTTTCCAAGGAGAGATTCATTGTTTCCAGGGAGGCCTCAAGCGTCAAGGGAGGTCTATAAATCTGACTCTAAAGCAGTCCTTTACAACGTATTTCAGGATGATCAAATGCCCATTTTTTCCATAAAACGCAACTATCGCCTACACACTTTTTATGTAACTTCCCTTTTTTGTCCACCCCATGCATGGCGATTGATTCAGTTTCTCGCACTATGCACTTCGCTCCCGGCGAATAATATACATGTAGAGGCAGTTACATAGTGCGACTGTACTGTGGCACTGATTCAAGGTTTTAGAATGGTCGATTCCTTACCTGTCTGGTTGCACGGACGTAAACTAGGAAGGGGATTTAGTGCTGCGCCAGATGCGGCGTGCACATGCACCTCGTTGCAGAGCAGCTTTTATTAAAAAGTAGCCGGGTGCATTGCTCACGCGAGAACTCACCCGGTAAATTATATACATGCCTTGTTTGTTTTCGCGCATTTTACATCTCACATGTAAAATGTAATTCGTAGTCCTTTACCTAAAATAATCGCGGCACGTAGCTTGACTCCGCATTCCAAGCAGACAGACGTACGCTCGTTGAGTTCAAGTTTTAAGGGATAATGTACGGAGAAAGCTACGATGTGTGAAATATGTATAATAGGTGCGTAGAATCACAAAGGTTGGGATAGTGTAAATCTACTAACAGCAAAAAAATGACGTAAGCCCTCCTCACCTCCTACAGCCCCCACCACCAAGTTTTTTTACCTGAATTTAAAAAAAAAAACGATCTGAAGCCTAGAAAAATAGAAGCTTGAGTGATTTTCATTCTTTTCGTTTTTGCCTTTTTCTCTGCCACCACTGGAACGATTTTCAAAAATTACAGAGCTCTTTCATCCTTGGAGTAATAATAACATGCAAAAAATTTCATCGAAATATGAGCGGTACTTCTCAAGTTATAGGCGGTTATAAGATTAGCGGACAGACGACGAAAATGAATGACATTATTCGTGACGTATATGTCATATAGCATCTAAAAATCGTAATATTGTATTGTCGAAAAATTTTGGGACTACAATACTTCCCCGCCAGTAGGCGTGACAAGTAAGAGCAAGGTTTGAGAAATGTTTGTCTTTTTATTTTCGTTTCCTGCCTATATATGTAGCGCTGCCGAAACTCGACCTATGTTCTAACTAAAAAGCGTTTTCAATATTCAATAAAATCCGAGCGGTATTTCCCAAGTCACATACCTTTTCGTGATGTTCATGTCATATATCCAGAAAACAGACCATAATTCCTCGCAAGTGACGTAGGAAGTGAAAATGGTATTTAGTTTTATATGGTTTGCCGATTTTGCCTAACCTATTCTTCGCAGAAAATCGCAGGCATAGAATAAGTAAGCATCGAAAGATCAAAATCTGTAGAACAAAACCAGCCTCCGTCCTATTTCCGACAATCCTTGTGTCAAAAAGTTATGTGAGGACCATCCCAAATTCAACCTTTCCAGAAAAGTTGCAATATAGAAATGTCTCCGCTGCCTTACCGCAACTACCGACCATCTGGTAACTATCACTCGATCCTTCTAGTTTTCAGGACAAATATACGAGGAAATCCATGAGGTGTGAAAAATGTCTGATTGGTAATAGACTTTCGGGGATTAGAAGCGCATAATACTACTAACTACCAACGTCAAAAACTTAAGATATAGCCTCATCCACCCCCTGAAAGCCGCAACCTCTAATTCTAAAGCCCTACAAATTTCTTCCCGAAAATGATCAGGAGCCTTTCAAATGTCAAAAAACTGAGTTTAATTTTCATTCAGCCCGTACTCCTCAATCCTGAAACATCCTAAATTTTGAACATGAGAATTAGTTACTGGTTTACAAATTCTTAAATAGGTAAATAAGCTATAGATCATATGTTGCACCATATTTTGTAAACTTTGTCCAACATTTGATCCCCATCTTGTTCTGCCAGACCCCCCCCCTCCACCCCATATCCGGAAAAGTGTCACTACGGCCCTAAGTCGCGATAAAATTTAGAAATACGATGAATTGCCTAAAGATGATTTAATGCATCTAATTTTTGCCTTTTGTACATGATATCCTTCACAACAATTGTTCAAAATATCTTCCTCTAACCTGAATACACCATTCCTGTGGGGACATGTAAAGTCTTTGGTTTACGAAACTTCAGTAGAAAGAGAGCAAGACTTAATTGGACGAATTGCAGCAGCATTTGAAATCATTCAAAACGCGTATCAAATTTTTAGTCACGTCCGTCGAAATCAAGTGCGACGTTTAAATCGGTGTATTCAGGTTGGAGGAAGACATTTTGAACAATTGTTGTGATGGTATCATGTAGAAAGGCAAAAATTAAATGCATTAAATCCTATTTAGGCAATTCATTGTCTTTCTAAATTTTAACGCGTCTTAGGGCCGTAGTGTCGTAGTGACACTTTTCCGGATATGTGTCCCTATACTCAAATGTTTTCTACTGTTACACTGTATAACCCCTAGAAGTTTGATCCCATACTTCTGAAACCGCCTGTATTTCGGTAGAATATAGGAATAACGTTTCTGAGATCTCAAAGATAGTTGGGATGAAAAAAAATATCCCAAGTATGGTACCAAAATGTACAAAAACGTAACATGGTCATCTTTTGACATTTTTCTCGTTAATTCTTGTTTCTTTCAGTTATTGGTATGGAGCTGGAAAAAAGATACATTGTTTAGGTACTTTTATCATAAATTATACAGCTAAACAATTTAGCAATCCGCATTTGCTTTGCGCAGTGACAGAAATACGAATCACTGCAAAATCTCTCATGTCCATGAAAATACTCGTTAGCCGCAGTTACTCTAAAAAGCTCGGCCAATCTAGTAGGTTGAGATGCAAGTCAGTGGGAGGCTCGAGAATCGCATAATCGTCAGTGCAATACGAACTTCAATACGATTTTTCATCGTTCTTGGCAATTTTCGCGTTCTAGCTCAAGAAGTTACAGGTGAGGGAAGAGATGGACGAACGCGTGGCCCACAGGGCATTATTAACAATCAAATAGCATTACTTTAAAATAGACTAAGCCCTATAAGCTCTCCTAAGTATTGTAGAGAAAGTTTGACCTTATTTTAAACACAAGACACCTACCCGATTATTCAAATCTTGCCTCCAATATATACAACACAACTTTTAGAAACGGTCAGAGTGGTCAATATCAAATATTTAGGAACTTCTTAAGACCAAAATTTGAGGTGGGACATTCATACAGCCTACATTTTGGAGAAAACAAGATTTGTTACATACAGAATTAAATTCTTCACAGGCAGGAAGAGAAAATTATAAGCATACTACGAGTATATATTATGCCTTAATTTAGCCTTACCTAATGCATGACATATTGGGCGTGGGCTGCAGCTTGTCCAGCGTTTTCAAGCGGTATAGATGTTTTAAAAAAAAACATTTATACAACTAAACAAAATAATTAATATCATCATATATTATATCAACCATTATCACAAAGTTGTCAGTGAGCGCGATAAAGTCACATTTTGCCATGATACTCGACATAAACTACGTGCAATAACTGTCCCTAGACCATAATGCAGCGGTCTTTTTTCTATTTGACTCCAAAATTGTATGAACACGTACCCAAAGCCTCAAAACAGTTTCGGAATACACCCAATTTTGAAAACAAATTATCAAAATGGATATGCTCAATAGGAAGACAACATATGATTGAACCCCTATCAAATGTTCATTAAAAGTTATCGTCTTCTACAT